TTATAAAGGAACTGACAAGTACAAATAAAAGGCTGAGGATAAAGGCAATAAGGCAAATGAGAGGAAAAGGAGTAGTGGTGGAGGTGGATGAAAGAGACGGGGACTTTGTGAAAAGAATAAACCTAACAACAAAGAAATTGAAAGTAGAGGAGCCAAGGAAAATAAATCCTACTCTTATAATTTATGACGTAGACAGGGAATATAAGTTTGAAGATCTCAAAGAAGATTTCATACTTAAAAACTGTGACGATCCGGATCCAATCGAAATAGAAGAATACAAAAAGGATTGTGTGGGAGTAACTATGACTCTCTCGGTCCTCAAAGCAACACGCTGCGATGGTACTTAGAGAGAGTCGTGGTTGGTTCGTGATGCGCCAACGAAGTCCTCTAGTAAGGACCTTCAGCCTCTCACGTCCAAGTTGTACCTCCACCTCCTGTGGTGCTCCCGGAAACGGCCTACTTTGAAAGTTTAAACTCGGTAGGTGTCGACTAAGAGAGTGTACAGCGAAGTGCGCCCCTAAGGGCTTCGGCCCATGCGCCTACGGTCATGGTGAGTTGTGGGGCTAAGAAAGACCGGGGTTTCTTGGGGGGCTCTCGGTTGTCAATCCGTTTGCCCCCCTACACGCAGTTAATTATGGAGAGAAATTTGAATGAGAATACTGTCCCGGGTTCTCGGATGGCCCGGGGACTGCGTGCGAGTGCTCGCTTGAGTGAGAGCGCGAGAGGTGCGGAGGACCCTGACGGGGTCGCAGCTGGTCCGTCGCAAACCACTATAAGGACCAGCCAGGCTGAAGTGGACAGCCTAGAGGAGGAAATGGTCAGCTGTGAGCAGTGTTCGGCGAGGTTCCGAAACATGCGTGGTCTTGGTGTCCACAAAGTACGTGCTCACCCACTACAAGCCAACAGTGCTATCAATGTTGTGTTACGTCCGGCAATTCACCTTACGGTAAATCACTTTATGCACAAGTCGGTCTTCTCTTGCGTCTACCTCGGTAAACGTTCGAGAAGCTGCTCTCTACTTTTTTAGGGCAACCTGCTAGGCCGGCTATACCCTGGGATGCCGAGAGCTTGAGATTCGATTGAGAAAGTCGGATGGAGAAGGAATTCTGCGGGTCGGGTCAAGAAATAAAGATATTTTACAAGTATAAAAATTGTTTATTCATTTATAAATCCTTTATGTCGACACAAAATCTACTGGTCCTGACTCGGTTCAGGATGAGTTTGGAACTGTATTACAATGTTATTGAGTTCCTGTTCAGAGTCGTTAGATTGGTTAAGATAGTTTATAAAGGAACTAAAATTATTCTGTGCTCCTTCTGGGATGAAATTATTGACGTCGTCGGGAGCGAGTACCACGGTGTCCTCGTCAAAAATATTGGAATTGGGTTGTAAAAATGGATCGTATTCAGGAGATGCTAATTGTTGAGTTTGATCATGGACGTAATATTCAGGGTCAGTTAGAAATTGATGATTTGGATCTATTAAGTAAGTATTTGATTCTGAATGAGACTGTTCAGGAAATTGAGGGTAAGAATAGTCAATGTGTGGAGGAATATTATTAATTGGCGAATAAGTGTCTGAAGAGGGAGGTTGTATGATTATTCGCGTTGGATAAATTTGAACGTTTAGATTTAGAGGTCTTCGAGATCTACGTTCGCGTAGCCTGTGAAGGTGCTGCTCGTTTCGATCGATCTGATTTCTTCGTCGGAAAGGAGAGACCATCTAACGGTTAAATAAATTCACATGAATAAATCGAAAGATAGATTGTTCTATTATTTGAAATAATTGAATATGATTCACGTTTGTAGCGTGATTTACTCGTTAGTGAGAGCGAACAAAGAAGAAAGGTTAATCTTATGCGAGAAAGCCCTTCACCTATTAATAAATTAACCTTATGTCAGTAATTATTATAATAAACCTGTATTAAATGAGAATTGGTAATAATGTGGATAAAAGGAAGGATTTGAATAGGAGTATTAATATCTGCGTTGAGAATATTAATACTTGATGTTTCAATCTTTAATAATTAAATCTTAAACTTTGAAATAGTAATTCTTAATGAATAAATAAATCTTAGACTTTGAAGTAATAAGAAGTAACAAACTTTGAAGTAACAAATTGTCAATGAATATCAAAATCACTGTCAGTTGGTATGGTAAAGTAATTCGCAATTATTGGAAAATGCAGGGTATTAAAAGCATGAAAGAATAGAGAGATAGGTGTACATCCGGTTATTCCGGGTTCTCAGGTCCTGGTCTTAATAGGCTAATGCTACGTTCACTTTACTAAACGTGCATCTCTGAGATGATTTGCGAATTTACCTTCTGACAGGATATAACTCTAATGGGTATAGAGGAGTTAGGAATAGAGGTTTGAATATAAGTATTAATATCTATATTAAGAGTATTAATACGTGTAGCTTCAGGCATCAATAATTGAATTGTAAATTGTGAATTAATTATTTTTAATAATCATTAAGACCACTGTCATTTGGTTTGGTAAAGTAATTCGTTAGGTTTGTAAAGCAGAGAGAGAGTAAGCAGGGAAGGGTGAAGAAATGTACGGTTGCCCGTGGATTCCGGTCCCCGAAGGTTAATGCGACGTTCACTTTACAGAACGTGCATCTCAGAATCGTAGTAACGAATTTACCTTATGACAGGGTATGGTTTTAATAGTAGCAAATAGGGTAAGGTGGAGTACACTTGTCAAATAAATTTAAATATCAATATGCAAGATCACTGTCAGTCGGTGTGGTAAAGTAATTCGCAATTATTGGAAAGTGCAAGGTATTTAAAGCATAAAAGAATAGAGAGGTAGGTATACATCCGGTTATTCCGGGTTCTCAGGTCCTGGTCTTATTAGGCTAATGCTACGTTCACTTTACTAAACGTGCATCTCTGAGATGATTTGCGAATTTACCTTCTGACAGGATATAATATTCTAATGTGTACTGAGGAATTAGCGTTATTCAATTCGCTAATAGGTAGTAGGATACGGGGTTACATACATATATAAATAAGCAGTGATATAATAAAATACATAAGTATATTTATTATAATAGATTGAATAAGTATGCGATATCGGTTAAATAATATTGAATAGTATTGGATAAAATATTAAATAGATCGACGATTGTAACGCAGACGTATGCAGATGCAAATCGTAGATTGGAATAATATCGGAAACGCAGAGTAATATATGGCTTATGTCTGTATTCAAATTCAGAGTTCGTAATGTGAAATAAGATTGAGTTCGAAATTCAGTGGTTAAATAATTAAATTCAGAGTTCGTAATGTGAAATAAGATTGAGTTCGAAATTCAGTGGTTAAATAATTAATTAAATATAGTGATTAAATATAATGAGTGTCCGTCGCGCTTTACTATTTAGGGATATGTGAACTGGCTTAAATACAAGGTTAGACAATGTCTTATGTGCCTTGCTATGGTACACTTCGCTACTGTGTTCTTCCCTCTGAGTTGAAGAGCTGAGGAGCCTCGGTACCTCGGTCCGAAATGGCGGCTATGTCTCGATGTCTTCAGAGCCCCGTAGTATTTGCTGGTTGAGTGTTGGATTGTTGTTGACTGGAACCACTGCGACGAAATCACTGCCGTTCCGTGCCGGGAGCCGGGTTTATATACCCAAAAATGGGGCTCGCTCCTCCCATCGGGCGATGTGGCTCAGCCAATGGTAAGAGAGATGTGCCGGGGAAGTACCGGAGATAATCTGTTCCTGGTAGAGATTGCGACGGTTAAGTCCTGGAGAGATGGCTTCTTAGTAGAGATAGCGGCGTTCCTAGGTGACTCATCGCCGGTCGCTCCGACTTTCCTTATCCTATTCTCGGTAGCGATAGCTGTATGCCTTTGTTGGCTATGCGCTCCGACTTATCTTATCTTCTTCTTGGTAATCGATTTTGCAGGTGGCTGGTGACTCATCGCTATGCGGCTTGCAATGGGCCTTGCAGGTTGCAACGTGTTTCAGCGTTGCATCATGCATTGCATCACGCTATTGTTCTAGAACCTTCTAGAATCTTCTGGATGTTTCCTTGCGAGTAAAGCCGAGTTCACATAGTAAAGCGGCTTTCATACATAATTATTTAATTACTTAGTATACTTCTTTATAAGCGATATATATATATAAATATTTCAGGTATAAGAATTTTGTGTGTTAATATATATATATATATATATAGTGTACATATTTAAAATTTAATACTATTGAATAATATATATATTTAATATTAGTAAAATGAATATTATGTCTTATACTGTCGTTGAAATCGCCGGAGAATACCATATGTCTTATGCAGTCATTGAAATCGCCAGAGAATACTACATGTCTTATACAGTCATTGAAATCGCCAGAGAATATATATAGTGTCGTCAAAGTATACGATTGATATATATATATATATATATGTTTGTCCCGGGCCAGTTTCCGGGACTTTTGACATCCCGTATTGGCAGATTCCGGGACATTTGGCATTTTCCAGGACTGACCTGGAAAAAATTTAGGTCCCACGGCAGTTTCCAGGACGCCCTGGAAACTGCCATTTAGATGAAATGGCAGATTCCAGGTCTGTACATTTAGATGTATATACATTAAATGTACAGACCTGGAAACTGCCATACACTTAAATGTATATATGTACATTTCGATGTATGACAGTTTCCAGGTCTGTACATTTAATCTAGAACTATATGGCAGTTTCCAGGTCTGTACATTTAAATGTATATACATCTAAATGTACAGACCTGGAAACTGCCATATATTTAAATGTATACATGTACGTTTCGGTGTATGGCAGTTTCCAGGTCTGTACATTTAATTTAGAACTATATGGCAGTTTCCAGGTCTGTACATTTAAATGTATATACATCTAAATGTACAGACCTGGAATCTGCCATTGTATCTAAATGGCAGGTTCCAGAACGTCCTGGAAACTGCCGTAGGACATAAATCTTTTTCAAGATATACCTATACAAAGAAAATAATAAATTTTTTATAATATATAATTATTGCATATACAAATATATACATTTCATAAATATACATGATTTCTAAACGCAAAGATATAATTACTTGATATATTTTTATAACTTCAAAATTTTAGGCTTACTAAAAGCAATTTTAAAAAAGCAATATTGCAAATGTTAGTAAGAAATGATGAAAAGAAATTAAAATTGTTGTTATTGTCGTTATATTCAAACAACCAGATTGTAATAAAAAATAATAAGAATTTAATAAAATGAAGATTATTGATTTTATTGCAATACCGAGAAAAGAGAGAAACATATTTCTTCATTATAGCAATAATAAAATCATTAGTTAACATCAGTTATTATAAGATTATTATAATAAAATATGATATTTCAAATTTATTGATATAGAAATAAGATTTCTACATATACAAAGAGACACTATCTTAAGAAAACTTACACTGATCCCGAAATATTCACGAATGCAAACAACTTTGCAAACCTTGAAACGTAATACATAGTTAATAACAGAATTATATGAAAAAATAAACACAAAAAGTTTAGACATGTCAGAAGATTTCTCCAAATGTTAATGAAAACTTATTAAAACGCAAATCAAAATTATTTACATTATGGTTATATTCACCAAGCTCAAGTTTAAATAAAAATTAACAAAAATAAATCAGTACTTAACTAATTATAATGAAAATATTTTTCGCGGAATAATTTATTACTTCAGAATTTGAATTAAGATTTATAGAAATAATACAAATTTAAGATACAATATTTTCAAACAATTTTAACGGTCCTGGAAAATGCCGTATTTTCAATAATGCAAATAATTTTCCAGAACTTAAAACACAAGTCATTCTAATAGTAAGATTATATAAAAGAACGTCGACAAATTTAGAAGAACTCACCAGAAGCCTTCTCAAAATAATATTACTTCAAGTGTAAATGCAAATAATGTGTGCAAATTTACAAATTATCAAAACTAGTGATATTATTCTTATATATAAACATTCAATTTATACCGTATTAAATTAAAAAAATCAGCTTTCAGTAGTTAATCAAAATGTAAATATGATCTTTCGAAGTAGTATTTATTATAATTTCGAATTAAGACTTATAAAAGAATAAAAAGAGACAATATTTAAAAAAAGCTTTACTAATCCCGGAACATGCTGTGTATGTTCAAAAATGCAAATGTCTGAATAATTTAGAACTTATTATGTTGCTCTAATAGCAGAATTATAAAAAACTTCTCGATAACTGTAGACTTATCAGAAATCTTCTTAAAATAAAACTACTTCAAGTTTCAATGTAAATGTGTATGTGAAAATCTAAACCAAAATTTACTGTCGATATTATTCCATCCGAAAATTTAATTTGCATGGTATTAATACAAAAATCAACTGTCAACACATAATTACATGTAAATATGGTCTTTTGAAGTAGAATTTAATACTTGAAAGTTAAAATTTTAATTGAAATAATCCAAAGAAACATTATATTTAAAAAATTTAATCGGTCCCGGAACATGCCGTACGTTCAATAATGCAAATAATTTTTTAAATCTAAATACATAATACTCATTCTAATAGCAGAATTATTTGAAATAAGATCCTTGATAAATGTAGACTTACCAGTAACTTTCTTAAAATAAAACTACTTTAAGTTTCAATGCAAAGTGTATGTGAAAACCTAAAACAAAGTTTATTGAGAGTACTATTATATCCAAAGATTTAATTCACATGGTTTTAATAAAAAAAAGTCAGCTCTCAATAAATAATTATATGTAAATATGATCTTTTAAAGTAGAAATTAATAACTGAAAATTAAAATTTATAATGAAAATTATTTCATTTTGTATTAACAAAGAGGACAATTTAAGAAAGTTTTGTCGGTCCCGAAACATGCCGTATGTTTAAAAATGCAAATATCTTTTCAGAATTTAAAACTTATTATGTCACTCTAAAAGCAGGACTATATAAAACAAAATTCTCGATAATTGTATACTTAAAAAAGTCTTCTTAAAAATAAACCTACTTCTTAAGTTTCAATGCAAGTGTAAATGTGAAAACCTAAACCAAAATTACTGATTTTATTGTTATATACAAAGACATAATTTACATACCTTTAATCCAAATATCAGATCGCAACATGTAATTATAATGTGAATATGATCTTTTAAAGTAGCAATTAAAACTGCAAATAAAAATTTATAATGAAATACTACAAAGACGCGATAATTAAAAAAAAATGTTATCGGTCCCGAAACATGCCGTATGTTTAAAAATGCAAATACTTCTGAATTTAAAACGTCCCCCACACAGCGAAAATTATATGACATAAATTCCTCAACAACTTTAAACTTACCAGAAGCTCTTCTTAAAATAGAATTATTTCGACCATTAATGCATTGATGTGTGTGGACATCCAAACAAAAATTAATGCATTATACCCGAATATTCAATTTAAATTGTTTTAATCTACAAATCCATTTTCAACACTTAATTATAATGTAAATATGATATTTTAAAGTAAAATATAACTAGAAATTAAAATTTTAATGGAAATAATACGAAAAAGCAATACCTTACATAAATTTATGCTGTCCCAGAAAATGCCATATACTCAAAAATGCAAATAGCTTTACAGAATTTAAAACTTATTATGTTGCTCTAATAGCAGGATTATATGAGACAAAATTCTCGTGAAATGTAGACTTACCAGAAGCCTTCTAAAAAATAAATCTACTTCAAGATTCAATGAAAATGTGTGTGTGAAAAAACTTAAACCAAAATGAATGACTTTACTATTATATCCAAAGAGATTTACTTAACTTTAAAATCCAAATATCAGCTCTCAACACGTAATTATAACGTAAATACGATTTTTTGAAATAAAATTTTATAACAAGATATTAGACTTTATATAGAAATAATACAGATCGACATTACTTTAATACATTTTTTTATTGGTCCCGGAATTTGCCAAATATTAAAAAATGCAAATATCTTTCCAGAATTTAAATCTTATTATGTCGCTCTAATAGCAGGATTATATAAAGCCAAAGTTTCTTACAACTTGCGACTTACCAGAAGCCTTCTTAAAAATAAACCTACTTCTCTCTCGCAGTAGTCTCAACGCAAATGTGGGTGTGAAAACCTAAACCAAAATTATTGACTTTATTCTTATATACGGAGATACAATTAACATATTTTTAATCCAAATATTAGAACCTAACACATAATTATAATGTGAATATGATCTTTCGAAGTAGAAATTAATAACGGAAAATTAAAATTTATAATAAAATAATACAAGGAAGCAATAATTTAAGAAAAATGACATCCCAAAACATGCCGTATCTTCAAAATAGCAAATAATTTTTCTGAATTTAAAACGTCCCCCTTATAGTGATATTATATGACAAAGAATCCTCGATAACTATAAACTTACCAAAAGCCCTTTTTAAAATAGAATTATTATTTCAACCATTAATGCATTGATGTGTGTGGACATTCAAACCAAAATTAATGCATTATAGCTGAAGATACAATTTAAATCGTTTTAATCTAAAAATCCATTCTCAATTAGCACTTAATTATAATGTGAATATAATACTTTGAAGTAGAATGTAATAACTAAAAATTAAAATTTATGTAGAAATAATACAAAAAAGCATTACCTTATAAAAAGTTTAGCGGTCCCGGAAAATGCCGTATGCTCAAAAATGCAAATATCTTTCCAGAATTTAAAACTTATTATGTTTCTCTAATAGCAGAATTATATGAAACAAAATTCTTGATAACTTTAAACTTGTTAGAAGCCTTCTTAAAAATAAACTTCAAGATTCTATGCAAATACGTATGTGAAAATCTAAACCAAAATTTCTTGACGTTACTATTATATATCCGAAGATTCAATTCACATATCGTTTTAATTCAAAAGTAAGCTCTCAGCATAAAATTATATATAAATATAGTTTTTTGAAGTAGAATTTAATAACTCAAAGTTAAAATTTATATTTAAATAATACAAAGAAACATTACTTTTAAAAATTTTATCGGTTCCGGAACATGCCGTACGTTCAATAATGCAAATAATTTTTCTATAACCTAAAAACATAATACTCGCTCTAATAGCAGAATTATTTGAAACAAATTTCTCGATAACTTTAGACCTACCAGTAGCGTCCTTAAAATAAAACTGCTTCAAGTTTCAATGCAAATGTGTATTTGAAAACCTAAACCAAAATTTATTGACGTTACTATTATATATCCGAAGATTCAATTCACATGGTTTTAATTCAAAAGCTAGCTTTCAATATATAATTATATGTATTAATATGATCTTTTCACGTAGAATTTAATAACTAAAAATTAAAATTTATATTTGACACAACAAGAAGGATTGGATAACTACATCATACAGGAATACTGCACATCGTGTATTTCACAAGACAAACTTTTATATCAATATGGCGATGGCGAGAGAGAACATTAATTATAAATTAATATAGATGGTCGATCGGGACGACCAAAAAGATTATAAATAGCGACACCACAGTTCGCGTTGATTGGCTAGCTTAGCAATATTGTTATAGATGTGATCGTTAATGCTCTAACAATATTGCAATAATACAAAATAAAATTATTTAAAAAATAGTTTATCGGTCCCGGAACATGCTGTATGTACACTAATCGTATGCAAATAGCTTTTAAAACTTTACAACATTATATCTCGTTTGAATAGCAAGCTTATATAAAAAATCTGTATAATCTTAGACTTTTATCAAAAGTATTCTAAAAACTACTTTAATAAAAAATGATATAAAATCAAATTGAAATTATACTGACGAATGTTCAATTTAAATCGTTTTAATCCAAAAATCGATTCTCGAATAATTAATTATAAATTAATTATAAAAATCGATTCTCCAATAATTAATTATAATGTCAATATAATCTTTCGAAATAGAAATTAATAACTAAAAACTTAAAATGAAATAATACAGAGGCAATAATTTAAAATTTTTTTCTGTCCCGAAACATGCCGTATGTTCAAAAATGCAAATAATTTTCCTGAATTTAAAACGTCCCCCTCTAAATAATAATATTACATGACAAACTTTTAATTATAATGTAAATATGCTATTTCAAAGTAAAATTTAATAATTTAAAATTAAAATTTACATAGAAATAATAAAAAGAGACATTACTTTATAAAAATTTTAGCAGTACCGTAATATACCGTATGTTCAAAAATGCAAATCATTTTCTTGATTTTAACACGTCCCCTTCATAGCGATATTATATGACAAAAACTCTTCGATAACTTTAAACTTACCACACACACACACACACACACACACAAAAGCCCTTTTTAAAATAAAATAATTATTTTAACCAATTATGCAAATGATGTGTGTGGGCATCCAAATAAAAATTAATACATTCCATCCGAATATTCAAATTAAATCGTTTTAATCTAAAAATCCATTCTCAACACTTAATTATAAAGTGAATATGATATTTTGAAGCAGAACTAAATAACTGAAAATTTAAATTTACATAGAAATAATACAAAGAAACATTAGTTTACAAAAATTTTAGCGATTCCGGAATATGCCGTATGCGCAGAAATGCAAAAACCTTTCCAAAGTTTAATATTACGTCGCTCTAATAGCAGGATAATATGAAACAAATAATTCCTCGATACCTTTTGACTTACCAGCAGCTTTTTTAAAAATAAACTTACTTCAAGTTTCAATGCAAATATGGATGTGAAAACCTAAACCAAAATTATTGACCTGATTGTTATATTCGAAGACACAATTTACATAGCTTTAATCCAAATGTCGAAATATCAGCTCTTAACACGTAATTATAATGTGAATATGATCTTTCGAAGTAGAAGCTAATAACTGCAAATTAAAATTTATAATGAAATAATACAAAAAGACGATAATTTAAAAAATGTTGTCGGTCCCGAAACATGCTATATATATGTTCAAAAATGGAAACATCTTTCGAGAATTTAAAACGTATTACGTCGCTAATAGCAGGATTATATAAAATAAAATTTTCGTTAACGTTAGACTTATCAGAAGCTTTTTTAATACGTAAATATAATTTGAATATGATCTTTCAAATAGAAATTACTGAAAATTAAAATTTATATAGAAATAATAGAAAGAGACATTACTTTACAAAAATTTTAGCGGTCCCCGAATATGCCGTATGTCCAAAAATGCAAATATCTTCCCATAATTTAAAACTTATTATGTCACTCTAATAGCAGGATTATCTGAAACAGAATTCTCGATAACTTTTAGACTTACCACAAGCCTTCTTAAAAATAAACTTACTTCAAGTTTCAATGCAAATGTAGGTGAGCTTTAATTCAAAAATTAGCTCTCTCATATAAGTATAATGTGAATGTGATCTTTCGAATAGAAATTAATAACTGGAAATTAAAATTTATATAGAAACAGTACAAAGAAGCTATATAATTTAAAAAAAAAACGGTGTCGGAATATATCGAAACATGTCGTATGTTCAAAAACGCAAATAATTTATTTGAATTTAAAACGTTCCCCTCATAGCGAAATTATATGACAAAAAGGTTTTGATAACTTTAAACTTATCAGAAGCCCTTCTAAAAATAGAATTATTATTTCAATCATTAATGCAAATAATGTGTGTGGACATCCAAATAAAAATTAATGCATTACACCCGAAGATTTAATTTAAATCGTTTTAATCTAAAAATCCATTCTCAACACTTAATCACAAATGACATTTAATTAAATATGACATTTCGAAGTAGAATTTAATAACTGAATATTAAAATTTATGTAGACATAATACAAAATACATAAGACATTAATTTACAAAAATGTTAATGGTCCCGGAATAGGTCGTATGTTCAAAATGCAATTACCTTTCCAGAATTTAAAACTTATAACGTCGCTCTAATAGCAAGATTATATAAAACAAAATTCTTGATAACGTTAGACTTACCAGAAGCCTTCTTAAAAATAAATCTACTTCTCAAGTTTCAATGCAAATATAAATGTGAAAAACTAAACAAAAAATTATTGATTTTACTGTTACATGCGAAAACAATTTACATAGTTTTAATCCAAGCATCAGCTCTCAACGCGTAATTATAATGTAAATATGATCTTTTAAAGTAAAAATTAATGACTGCAAATTAAAATTTATAATGAAATACAAAAAAGCGATAATTTAAAAAAACTGTCGATCCCGAAACATGCCGTATGATCAAAAATACAAATAATTTTTCTGAATTTAAAACGTCCCTCTCATGGCGATATTACATGACAAAAAATCCTCGATAACTTTAAAATTACCAGAAGCAAATAATGTGTGTGAACACTCAAACCAAAACTAATGCATTTTATATCCGATGATTTAATTCGTTTTAATTTAAAAATCCATTCTCAACACTTAATTATAATGTGAATATGATATTTCAAAGTAGAATTTAATAATTGAAATTAACATTTATATAGAAATAATACAAAGAGACATTACTTTACAAAAATTGTAGCGGTCTCGGAATATGCCATGTGTTCAAAAATGCAAATATTTTTCCAGAATTTAAAACTTATTAAGTCGCTCTAATATCAGTATTATATAAAACAAAATTCTCGATGACTTTTTTTAGACTTACCAGAAGCCTTCTTAAAAATAAATCTACTTCAAGTTTCAGTGCAAATGTGGGTGTAAAAACCTAAACCAAAATTATTAACTTTACTCTTATGTAAGAAGATCGATTCAATTCGCATGGTGTTAATATAAAAATCAATAACATGTTAACAGTTAATTATATGTAAATATGGTCTTTTGAAGTAGAATGTAATAACGGAAAGTTAAAATTTATACCGAAATAATACAAAGAAACATTACATTTAAAAAATTTTATCCGTCCCGGAACATGCCGTACGTTCAATAATGCAAATAATTTTTCTATAACCTAAAAACATAATACTCACTCTAATAGCAGAATTATTTGAAGCAAAATCCCCGATACCAGTAGCCTTCTTAAAATAAAATAAAACTACTTCAAGTTTCAATGCAAATGTGTATTTGAAAACCTAAACTAAAATTTATTGACGTTATTATATATCCGAATTTAAGATTCAAATCATATGATTTTACTTCAAAAGTTAGCTCTCAACATATAATTATATGTAAACAAGTTTTTTTGAAGTAGAATTTAATAATTAAAAATTAAAATTTTTATTTGACAGAACGAGATATGCGATATCTAAATCACACAGGAAAAAATATAATACTGCACATCGTGTATTTGCACGAGACAAACTTTTATATCAATATGGCGAGAGATAACTAATTATAAATCAATATAGATGATCGATCGAGACGATCAAAAACGTTATAAACGGCGACACCACATTTTGTCTTAATTGGCTAGCTTAGCAATTGTTATAGCAGATGTGGATCGCTAATGCTCTAACAATTTCGCAAGAACATATAATTCAAAACTTAAAAGTGAAACTTAAATTTCAATTTTATAATTTCTTATTTTATTAAATATATTATGTAATAAATGTATTTTGCTTTACTTATAAGAAAAGAAAACTTATTGTTAACTTTTATTGCTAATAAGTAATATTAGCATATATATAATAAGAAATAAACTTGGACATTTCATAACAAATTAATGCAGTAATTGAAACTTACAATAGAGAAACTAAAAAATAAAAAACATTCTGCCTTCAAAAATAAAAATACATATCTTAATTTTAGTAATTAAAATTTATAATCAAAAAGTTAATAGACTCAAAAATTAAAAACATATTATTTTAAAAAATAAAAATGCATATCTAAAATGGCATAATTGAAATTTGTAAAATCAAAATCTTAATAAACTCAAAAATCAAAAATAGGATGCCATAAAATATAACAATACATCTTAAAAATTAAATGTAGATACATTTACTCAAAAGTCTTATTTTTTTTTAATTGGTTGTGTAACCATGTTTTTATGACATCAGTTTTTCTATCTCTTAGAACATTATATTTCATTTTAACTTTTTCTATCTCCGATAAAGGTGGTAATATTCCTTTACGTGTATAATGTGAAAAATATGTTTTTGCATTTTTTATCTCTTCATTTGTCCATCGTTTTTTTTTCTTATATGTTTCACGACCTGTAATACAAATAATTCATGATAAAAAATAATTGAAAGAGATCTTGATGTAACATCTAATTATTATATAGTTACATGATTGATTTTTGCGCTTCCTTTTTCTGTTTTCGCTGTTTATACTTTCATTAGAACTGTTTGAGCTCATATTCATTACATAATCTGATATGTCACTATCTGAATCTTTTCCTATTAAAAAAAACTATAATATAAACATGAAATCCAAATGTAAAGAGAATAAGAAAAAGAGATCAAATTATATTTTAAAATATACATTTTGTTTAACCTAATTGTTTTTATTT